GTGTGCATCCGGTATTTCATGTTTCTATGCTCCGGAAGTATGTTGGGGACCCGTCCCATGTTTGGATTTCAGCACGGTTCATTTGGATGGTGATTTGACCTTTGATGTGGAGTCAGTGGCTATTTTGGGTCGTCAGGTTCGGAAATTGAGGTCAAAGGATATATCTTCTGTAAAAGTGCAGTGGAGAGGTCGGCCCATGGAGGAAGCTACCTAGGAGACCGAGCGAGAGATGCAGAGCAGATATCCTCACCTGTTTGAGGCTTCAGGTATGTTTCTTGACTTGCTCGAGGACGAGCGTTTGTTTAAGTTGGGGAGGATGTGACGACCCGACCCGTCGTCTTATGAGTTACCGCCCCGTTTTCCCCATTTTTATGCTTCTTCATGTTTCGTTATCGGTATTCGGTGTTAGAGTTAAATCGGATTGGCTTTGATAGGAAATGAGACACTTAGTCTCTTTAAGGAAGGCTTGTTTTGGAAAAAGTCAACCGGATGTTGACTATTGAGTTAGAAGGCTCAGACGTGATTTCTGGTGATTCAGTTAGCTTCGGGGGATGATATGTGGCTTAGGAGTGTGATCGGAATTTATTTTGGAGGTCCGGAGTAGAATTAGGCTTGAATTGGCGAAGTTAGTATTTTGGCGAATTCCGGTTGGCAGGTGAGATTTTGATACGGGGGTCGGAATGGAATTCCGAGAGTTGCAGTAGCTTCGTTAGGTGATTTTGGATGTGTGTGCAAAATTTCAGATCATTCGGAGGTGTTTTGGTCAGGTTTTTGATCAAATGCGTATTTCGGAAGTTTTTAAGAAATTAGGCTTGAATTCAATGAGTTTTGGGTAATTTAATGTTGTTTGAGGTATTTTGATGATTGGAAGTGGTTTGAATAATGTTATGAATTATGTTGGCATGTTTGGTCGGGGTCCCATGAGGCTCGGATAAGTTTTGGAAGAGTTTTTGGAAGATTTTTGCCGTTTGAGCATAAGCATGTAATGATCCAAAGGTCCATTTTTAGTTCTAGAGATCGAAATTTTATTTCGAGATTTCCAGAATTTAAATAATGAATTATAGGAGTGATTTGGAAAGTTTGGTCTAATTTCATCAAGTCGCGATTGAGTTTTTGACATAAAATATGAGTTAATTATTTAACGAGAAAAATGAGTATTGAACTGAGCAAAAGAGCTCCGAATTGAGTTCCAATTGAAGGTCTATGTTCGTACTATTATTTTTGACCCATAGGAACAAGAATCATCGAATTCTACAAAAATATTTCTCCATTTATCTGCTCTCTATATCTCTTCTCTCCCCTTCTCTCAGAACCTTCCAGAAGACTCCATGGCAACTCTGAAGGTCTGAGCTTGGATGTACAATTCTCTTATGGTATCAAAGCACGGGTATCAGCTCACATTCCTCTCAGTGTTTCAAAATCTAGTTCTGAATCTCACTTGAATTTCGTCGATCTCCAAAGCTTCGGCTGTTGCCGCCCATTTCTGAAACTCGTCTCAAAATTGATGGTCTCTGATTCAATTGAGGACTTTATACTTCACAATTTCATCAAATTCAAACCTCGCACATGGATATCGATCAAAATGAAGAAACGAGCCCTAGCACGAGCAGAAATGACCAGTTGGTCATTGATACTGGTAATCCCCTTTACATCCATCCTTCTGATAGTCCTGGAATGACCTTAGTACCAGTTCCGTCTGACGGAATTGGATGTCGCTTATGGAGAAGAAGCGTGTTGCGAGCTTTGTCAGTTAAGAACAAATTAGGGTTTATAAATGGGGAATCTAGAAGACCTAGCCCCGATTCACCTTAATTCCGCCAATAAGACAGGCGTGATGATATGGTGATCTCATGGATCCTCAATTCCCTCGCTAAGGAGATTTCTGATAGTGTGGAATATGTAAATGACTCGGTTGAGCTGTGGAGGGAATTAGAAAATCATTATGACCAAACAGATGGAGCAAAGTTGTATCAGATTCAAAAGGAGATTAATGACCTTGCACAGGGTTCCATAGACATTACTATGTACTATACACGAATGAAAAGACTATGGGAGGAACTAAGCACTTTGAGTATCAAGTCTCAGTGCAGCTGCAACTGCACATGCGGGGCAAAGGAAACCATGCACAAGGCAGAGCAAGATCCATGGCTTATCCAATTTTTGATGGGACTAAATGAGGTCTACACAATAGTGCGAGGAAGCATTCTTATGATGAAGCCTCTGCCTTCTATGGCTCAGGCCTTTTCTCTGTTGATACAAGAAGAGAAACAAAGGGAATTCAAGACCAATAGTCAGCTGAATCTAGATTCCACTTCACTACATGTTAATGCAAGTCCACAACATCAAAACCCATATGGAGCCAGGAACTTCAAGACACATTATACAACCAACAACAATAATAAGAGTCGCCAATTCTATGATTATTGTAAAAGACCAAGACATACGAGGGAAAAGTGCTACAAGTTACATGGATACCCTCAAGGCAGTTCTTACAACAATTAGAACCTCAATTGTGCCAATGCACAGCCATATAATCAAGGGAACAACCAAAACTACAAGTTCAATAGGGGAAAGGGTCCGTGGCAAATGTATATGGAACTCCAGCTGATATAATTCATGGGAGTGGAGATGATCAGGACCTTGCAGGAAAATCAGAATGTCAACCTAACAAAAGAACAGTATGAGCAGATAATGGCCTTGCTGCAGCACTTTCAAGTAGGACATGCGGGAGGATCTTCCAACAATAGCAATATCACCACTAGTAGTGCAAACTTTGCAGGTATTGTTGTCTGTACTTATTCCATTGATTTTGACAAGCCTTTATGCAAATGCTTTGAATCAAAGGCTGATCTTTGGATCATAGACTCAGGAGCATCTAACCACATGACCTTTAACAAACATGCACTCACTAACATCACTAGATTACCCTATCCTCTATTGATAAGTCTACCAAATGGTTATTGAGTAAGAGTTCTTGAATTTGGAGATGTGATACTCTCTTCAGATATTGTCCTACATAGGGTTCTTCATGTTCCATCATTCAAGTGTAACTTGATTTCTGTTCACTCCCTTGCAGTACATCTTTGATGTCTTGTATTGTTCAGTGGTACACTTTGTCTGTTGCATGCCCCTTCAGTGAAGAGGCCTCAGGTGATTGGTAACAGCAAAGAAGGTCTGTATTATCTCTGTTCCAGGTACTTGAGGGGTAAAAGGACCACTTTACCTTCTACTGTTTCAACTTCCTACTGCAATTGTATTCCTGCTCCCAATGTAAATAGTCACGAGTCTGTTAGTCATGCTCATTCATATCACACTCCTCAATCTGTAGACACTTTCATTTCAAATAAGAATGAGTCCTTATGTGTGTTTGATAAACATGATGTAAATTCTCTATGGCACAATAGGCTTGGTCATGTTCCTTTTATCAAGATGAAAGGAATATCCTCAATTCCTGTTAAGTTTTCACCAAGACAACCCTTCATTTGTCCTATATGCCCTATGGCAAGACAAACCAGACTCCCATTTCCTCAAATAACAAGTACCATATCCAAATTATTTGAACTGGTAGACATAGATATATAGGGTCCTTACATTGTGACCACCCATGATAACTACAAATATTTCCTTACACTAGTGGATGACTTCAGTAGGTCCACTTGGACACATCTATTGAGTTGCAAAAGTAATGCTCTTCAGGCGGTAAAAGCTTTTGTGTCCATGATTGAAAACCAATTCAATACATCCATAAAATCATTAGATCTGATAATGGCTTGGAGTTTATCAGCCATGAAGCCTCTTCATTTTACCAATCTAAAGGAATTATACATCAAAAGACATGTCCCTATACACTACAACAGAATGGTGTAATAGAGAGAAAACATAGATACCTTCTTGAGACTGTCAGGGTTCTCATGTTCTAGTCTAAACTCCCAACCAGATATTGAGAAGAGTGTATCCTAACAGCCACCTATCTGATTAATAGGCTGCTAACTACTTACCTTAACAACAAATGCCCCTTTGAGTTATTATACCAAAAGAAGCCCAATTATTCTCACTTGAGAAACTTTGGTTGTCTCTGTTACCCCACTGTGCCCAAAATATACAGAAACAAATTTGAACCAAGAACTACCCCACATATCTTTGTAGGATATCCCTTTGGTACAAAAGGATACAAGGTACTAAACCTAGCCACCAAGAGAATTCACATTTCTAGAGATGTGATCGTTTATGAAAATGTTTTTCCATTTTCCTTAGGTTCTAATAATGCCTCCTTCCCTGTTGTCCTTAAAACAGTCTCATTTCCTAACTATTCTAAGGACAGCAGTCAAGTTTCCCCTATAAACATTGGATAAAGTCCCGATAGTGTCATATCTCCAGGGATAAAACACCACTCTGAATCATCCACCAATAATACACCTTTTTCAAATGGTAATAGTCCACAGAATTCATCTACACATGAATTATCAGAAGCACCAGTTCTGAGAAAATCTAGTAGAACTCATCAGACTCCTGTCTACTTGAAATATTATGTTTATCAATTACCTAGTAATGCCACTCAACTATCCAATGCATCTCATTGCATCCCTTCACTAAATGCCCTATTTTCTAATCATCATCACATCACTCCTGATGCTCTATTTTCTGAAAGTCAGCACTTGATGCTAAGTATTTGTCATGATAATGAGTCATCTTCATATGAGGAGGTAGCCCTCAATCCTGCTTGGCAAGATGCCATGACACAGGAATTTGAGGCACTTCATGCCAATCATACTTGGGATTTGGTCCCTTTGCCATTTAGAAAGCAAACAATAGGCTGTAGGTGGGTATACAAGATCAAACATAAAGCAGATAGAAGTATTGAGAGATTTAAAGACAGGTTGGTAGTAAAGGGTTACACTCAACAGGTTGGGATTGATTATACAGAGACCTTCTCTCCTGTTGTGAAAATGACAGCTGTCAGAGTTCTAGTCACAGTGGCTGTTAAGAAGGGCTGGGATATATTCTAATTGGATGTAAACAATGCCTTCCTCCATGGATACCTACATGAGGAGGTATACATGGAGGTCCACCTAGACTTGTAGTTGATCAATGCAGCCAAAGTAAAGTGATATGCAAGCTAAACAAGTCACCATATGGACTAAAGCAAGTCAATAGACAATGGTATGCAAAGTTGACTGAAGTATTGTCTTCAAAGGGGTATCAACATTCTGAAAATGATCACTCCTTTTTCTGCAAGAAAACTTCCACATCCATCATCTTTGTAGATGTATATGTTGATGATGTTATCATCACTGGAACTGACCCAGAGGAGATTGCAAGCTTGAAGGTTTTCCTTGATCAAAAATTTAGAATAAAGGACTTGGGCAGACTTCATTATTTGCTGGGTTTAGAGGTCCTATACAAACCTGATGGCATCCTTATATCTCAAAGGAAGTTTGCTTTGGATTTGCTAAAGAAATACCAGTGTTTTGATTACAGCAGTCTCCTCACCTCTTGACCCTACTGTCAAGCTAAAGGCACAAGAGGGTAATCTCCTACAAGATCCCACATACTATAGAAAGTTAGTAGGAAAACTCAATTTTCTCACCAATACCAGGCTGGATATAGCCTACAGTGTGCAACTCTTAAGCCAGTTTATGCAGGCTCCAAGGGATACTCATTTGACTGCAGCATTCCACCTCCTTAGGTATCTCAAAAAGGATCCTAGCTTGGGTGTATTCTTCTCCAACAGTCCTGACTGCTCAATCAAGGCCTATTGTGATTCAGACTGGGCAGCCTACCCAGACTCTAGGAGATCTGTTACTGGGTACACTGTTCTAGTAGGAGACAGTCCTATCAGTTAAAAGTCTAAGAAACATGAGACTGTTTCCTTGTCCTCAGCTGAAGCAGAGTACAGATCCCTCAGGAAAGTAGTTGGGAAGTTGGTGTGGTTGAGCAGGCTGTTTGCAGAGCTTACTCTTGCCCAATCAGGACCCATTCGGGTGTTTTGTGACAGTCAATCTGCCATACATATTGCCCATAATCCAGTATTTCACGAAAGAACCAAGCACATTGAAGTCGACTGCCATATTGTGAGGAACAAGCTACAAGAAGGTCTCATCTCTTTTCATCATGTGAATACTCACAATCAGTCGGCTGATATTCTTACCAAATCCCTCACAGGGGTCAAACATTTAGCTGTCCTAGGCAAGTTGGCTGTGAATACCTCACCTCCAACTTGAGGGGGGTATTGAGTATTGAGTATAATTGTTATTTGTACATTTTTTACTGTATTGCATACTTAGTTAGCCTATGCTTAGTTAGCTTAGTTAGTGGCTTAGTAAGTAAATAGCTTGGTCAAATAGACAACATGTATATATATACTTGTACAATTACTGAAATGAAATGAAGGTTCATTTCTACAAAAATATTTCTCCATTTATCTGGTCTCTCTATCTCTTCTCTCCCCTTCTCTCAGAACCTTCCAGAAGACTCCATGGCAGCTCTGAAGGTCTGAGCTTGGGTGTACAGTTCTGTTAGTAACTTCGGTTTATCTATGTTTAAAATAAGATACATCTAATGAGTCAACTGCTTTCTTAGTGATTTGGGGATTGGCAATACATGCATTCACTTCTTTTGCAATTAAATCCAGTTAATTTCTGTCTGGTGTAATAATCCTTTTTACATGTTCCCTTTTTAATACTATTTGTTGTGGCAGAAAAAAGAGATTGGAAGGCGAAAAGAAAAGAGGATCATAACTCAAGGTAAATATGATTAAAAGGTATGCCAGCCTTTTGCATTGTATAGTTCTTGCCTTTCTTTTCTTATGCCAATGCCAACTAAAATGTGTAGGTATTTTTTGTCATAATTGTGTCTTTGTCGATCTATGACTAATTGTTGTTTGATATAGTATATGAGCATTCACTGGGTAGAGATTATTGGTTTTATTTTTGTCATTTATTGTTGCGAGTATTAAGCCCCGATTGTTTTTGGTTTATCAACAATTGAATAGATCAAAAATAAAAAATAAAAAACTGAATAGATTAAAAGTATTGAAATGATTACAATTAGTTAAAATACTTTCTATTGTTTTGCCTCCAATATAAATTTCGTTTGCACTCTTTTAACAAGTTATTGGAATACTTGGTTGCGTAATTGATACTACTCCTATTCTACAATAACTAAAGTTATTTAAACGTATTAAGTAAAATAATAATAGCTATTGTCAGCATGAGATGTTAAGTTGTTTCAAATTATTTTAGATTATTATCTATATCAAACAATATAGTTAATCAAATTTAGAAAGTACAAAATATGTCTTATAGTATACTATTATATATGTACTATATTTGCTTTATCGACCTAATTAACTATAGCAGGCTAAATCAAAACCGCAACCAAAATAGATCTAAAAGAATAATATGTACCTATTAACAAGGAACAAAAATATTCATTTGATTGATGATAAAAGTATTAGTAATCGAAAGAAGCATGATACAACCATGATAAAATATGTCAGTATA